GGAGGCCTGGGGACAAGACATTATGGCCGGAGGCCTGGGGACAAGAAATTATGGCAGGAGGCCTGGGGACAAGACATTATGGCCGAAGGCCTGGGGACAAGACATTATGGCCGGAGGCCTTGGGACAAGACATTATGGCTGGAGGCCTGGGGACAGGACATTGTGGCTGGGGGCCTGGGAGAAAGATAAGAGCCCTTGGGACATTATATTGTGGCTGGAGGCTTGGGGACAAACTATAGAAAGTATAACATAAAAAGTAAATAAGAAAATGGCATTCGGCTCAGAAAATATATGAAGCTTGTCTTCTAGGAAACGTTTTGACCACTTTTGTCTTTTTCTCCGCGCAGGAATTGGTTACGATTTCAAGCGGCCGCTCTCGCAGCTCCGCGAGGTCCACCTGCGTCGCTATAATCTGCGAAGGTCGGCTCTGGAGTTCTTTTTCATCGACCAAGCCAATTACTTTGTCAACTTTAAGAAAAAGGTAATTTACTGCTTTTACAGCTGAGAAGAAAGCGAGCCGGAGGCCCGTACGGGGTCAAGGCAAAAACAAGAGCTACTAAAGTCCATTACTTCTATCCCATTTTGGGGAAGATTTCCAATCTGCCACCAGCTCTGTCCCTGCTATAGAATAGAAATAGGATATTTACTCAGACACCTTACTATCTCAGCATCACGTGTCTCTAAAATGTTTTTTGTTCATTTGTATAATGCTGTATTAATTTTAAATCCAAATTCCATTCCATCTTGGGCCAAACAAACACTGGCTGCAGTACTTATAATCCTGGACTGTACTGTGGAAGCTGTGTCCAAGCAAAGGACAAAGGAGAAGTCACCTGTATTACCTGCGGTGTCCCTGCAGCTGATATTTTCCTATTACTGACCAACCAATGTCTTGTACTGCACTGTGTCTCTGGGTGGAAGCCGCCATCTTGGTAGAGGAGCAGGGCTTTGCTTATTCATCAAAGCTGCTTAAAAGAGAACTATGGGATCTGTGCTTTTCCCCATAGTTCTCTTTAGGGTCACGGGAAGACATATACTAGCGTCCTCCCATGACACAAAGCTCAGTATATCTCGAGCTACAGCTCGCTGTATACTGAGACCGCCGCAGCCGAGACGGATCCCGACATTACTGTCGAGGTCCACCTAGCTGCGTGAGTGACAGCTGGCTCGGCCTATCTAGAGGCAGAGCCAGCTGTACCCGCCCCCTCCCCCGTCCGTTCCTCCAGTCAACGCTGGAGGATCGGCGAGGGGGGGAATCCCTAACAGTCACGGCTCTCTACAGGGAGATGATCGAGAAGTGAGCGAGCGGCGGTATGTGTTCACTCACTTCCCGATCTATTGAGCCGACCTGTGACAGTTTCATTGTCACACGTTGGCTCAAACTATGAGGATGAGTGATATTCAATTACCTCATAGTTCTCCTTTAATGATGAATAAGCAGCAGGAGAAGTGAAGGAAGCACAGATCCACACAATTGACGAAGTAGGGAGATCCTTGCACTGCATGTTGTCAGGTACAGCTTCCCCTCCAGCAAGGGGAATAGTGAGCAGCACAGAAGTGACATCACCAAATCTGGAGAGACCAGCAGTCAGAGGTAGCAATGCCTTAGACCAGTGCTCCCCAACCTTTTTATCGCCGCGGACCGGTCAACGTTTGACAATTTTACCGTGGCCCGCTGAGGGGGGGACGTTGATTGTTTATATTTTAAATTGTTTTGATTTAATAATTTTAATTGAATTGTATTTAAACATGCCTTCAAAATAAAATACAGTTACACCAAAAAATGAAAGCGTTGGAATTCTTCACCTATTCCACCACCGAAAAACTGGGCGAGATTACGTTAAAATGTGTGACCACGTCACTGGTCACACATTCTAACGTAGTCTCAAACTTTGATAGATCACATGCCTACCTGTAATCAGAGAAATAGATTATAATAGGGAACATTACAGTGCAATATGCCCCATTATAATCCACTTGTCTAATTACAAGAAAAAGCATGAAATGGCTGTACACAACTACTATCCCCCCCGCCCCCCCACCACATATCTATGACCCCTTTACAACCCCCCATCCAGATATCTATTACCCCTCTACAAACCCCCCCCCCA